TTTTTTTTAAAGATTTTATTTATTTATTTGACAGAGAGAGACACAGCGAGAGAGGGAACACAAGCAGGGGGAGTGGGAGACGGAGAAGCAGGCCTCCCGCGGAGCGGGGAGCCCGACGCGGGGCTCGATCCCAGGACTCTGGGACCATGACCTGAGCCGAAGGCAGTTGCTCAACAACTGAGCCACCCAGGCGCCCCTTGTGGGTAGATTTTTATTCTCTCTTTTTTTGAGAGAGAGTACAAGTGTGTACAAGGGTGGAGGGGGTGGGGCAGAGGGAGAGGGAGAGAGAGAATCTTAAGCAGGCTCCACGCCCAGCGCGGACCCTGATGTGGGGCTCAATCTCACAACCCCAAGATTATAATTTGAGCTGAAATCAAGAGTCAGATGCTTAACTAACTGAGCCACCCAGGCGCCCCTAGATTTTTATTCTCTTGAAACTGAAATTAGTCCTTTAGGAATTAGTAAGGTAAGTAAAATACTATCACCTGCAATTTCACATATAAGAAAACTTTGGTTCACAAATGTTGTCTGCCCAACTGCAAAGAGATGCCAGAATAACACCATGCCCAATGTTTGTTTCCATTTGTATAACAGGAAATCACGATTAGGGTATCAAAACTAATAATATAGGGTAATGTTAAAGTTACTTTTAATAATTTATGCTTTAAAAAACTCATCAGTGCATAAATACTTCTTAAAGGGGGGGCATGATGCTTTCTCTAAATGTATTAAATTTTGATTTGCTATATGTTAAGTTTTACCTCTAGTTGTTCATCCTCCAAAAGACTTATAACAAGCCACCTGATGTCTTTAACTGCATCTTCATTGTTTAGGAAAATAAAGAGGTTATAAAATACCATGGTCTGGAGGTAGGTCAGCACTGTATATCTAGCATGCCAAGAACTGCTTCTTGCTGTCTGTGAATGAGAATAAACAGAGACAATGGGAACAGTGCTGATGAGAGCAGGAGATGACAGACAGGAATGACACAAATCGTATCATCTTCTACTACAACTCTACTTTTACGGGCATGGTTAGAGCAAGCTCGTGTTATAGTTCCTTCTAAATAGAAGGTTGCATGAACTATTTCAGGTAAAGTTAGTTCTTCAGAATGGTTGAAAATAAAGGGTAAGGAACACATAGACAAAAGTCAACTTTAGAAGAAAATTATATTTAATACTCTGACTCCTCTAGGAGTTACACATTATTTTCTTTTACTTCATAGCAGGTAGCGGATTAAAAGCAATGACTGAGAACTGCTAAATTCCATCACAGAAACAAACAAACAAACAAACTGGGCTGTTAAAAAATGTTTTTCAGTGGTAACTCAACTTAAAAATCTGAAAACCATCGGAACAGGTCCACTTTTTATGTTATATAACACATGTAAGACCTGGGTATAGGCTGAGCACACAGTATACTAAAAATGCAGCCAGAAAATATACAATCACTTAGGTCTTTTTTCTTTCTTAAACCAGATTGGGAAATACAAGTGAATAAAACAAAGGGAAAATGGTAAAGGGAATGACCACTCCCCTTCCCTCATAAGCACTTTGCATCCAAGGTGCTTCACTAGCTTTCTGTGTATATAGGGAATTTGAATGATCTCCCCGGGGTCACAGAAGTTGGTGGCAGAGGCAGGTACAGAGTCTAGGTCTGTTTCTTTGGTCAATATGTATCTTCTCTCATACTAAAAGAAAAGTCAAAATGAAAAATAAATTTCTGGTACTGTGTGCACTACAGCTGACTTTGTGAAATTCTTAGAATGGGTAACCAAATTCTAACCAAAACACATAAATATTCGTTAGACACTTACTTGTTTTAGCACCTGAAGTACCAAAGGCACTTGATGAGGGTAAAGCAAGCCCTGAGACATTAGTGATAAACATAACTTTGCATCTCTTTTCAGTTCATCATAGCTATTGTCATTTTCCACTGGGGCAATCTAGAGAACAATAAAACAAACCGAAGAGAAAACTGAAATAACAGCCAATAAGTACAAAGGCATCCTTACATAAAAGAAATCACATTTTTTACTTTTAACAACTTCTATGGAAATTTTCAGATATGTACAAAACTAGGGAACAGTGCAAGGAGTCCCCATGAATCATTCACCTCTCCAACAACGACAAACACATAATCCCCCCATTTTTTGCCCATGTTTCCCCATCCCCTAATTAAATTATTTGAAGCAAATCCCAGACATATTTCACCCATGAATATTTTATTATGTATCTCTAAAAGATAAAGTCTCTTATTTTAAAAACCTGGAATGACATCAGCCATAAAAGTTCATTGCAGTTAAAATATAAAGTATACAGTAGTGTTCAAATTTCCTCCATTATTTTGTAATTGGTTGTTTGGAATCTGGTTCAACGTGATGATCACACACTGCATTTGGTTCATGTGGCTCTTAAATGTAAAAGATTCTATGAAAGATATATTTAAAAAAAAATTCTGAATTCTCCCTCTTTTAAAATTCCTTCCCCTTTGAAAAAAGGGTGCGGGAGGGCCTATTTGGTTTTGTAGGGTCCTCCACAGTGGCTTCCTTCTCTGACTGCATCCTTGTGGTGGCATTCATTGGCTCCAGTATGTCCTGTAAAGTAGCTGTTAGACCTAGAGGCTTGATTTTATTGAAGTCTAATTCTTTGAGCACAACATAAGTGGTGTGTACTTCCTTCACTTACGGTCAGTTTTCTCTGTCCGTGATGAACCATTACAAAAAAAGGTTTGCAAAATGGTGACACTCATTTCTTATTACCTGAAATACTTCATACAGAAAAGCCTCCCCTTCCTCAGTGGGTTTCCTTCCTATCCTCCAAAAGTGAACAATGAATTTTTAAAACAAGGTCATTATGAACTAATGAATTTCAACAAATTCAATGGTTTTAGTCTTACTGGTGTTTGAAATGGCTCCTGACTCCTTTAACACAACTGTTACATCCTTGGTTTCTGGTAGGACAATTATCCTGTACATTTCTGGGTCCTAACCTGAAATCGGCTTTTCCTCCACGGAGCCCTGGTTCTTCCAGCAGGAAATGATACCTAGAAACCGTAATCTGGGCACTACGGGCACTGATCACTACTAGGCTGATTACTAGTTATGGGTTTTTTGTGGCCAGAGCTAGGAAATAAGCATATTTTCTAAAGAAAAACAGATCATGAGATCATACTGGTATTTTCAAATTTAGGATTACTGAGGTTTTACTAAACAGCTGGACTTTTTTTTTAAAGATTTATTTATTTGAGAAACAGCACACATGTGTGCACAAGTAGGGATAAGGGCAGAGGGCCAGAATCTTCAAGCAGACTCCCAGCTGAGCGCGGAGCCCAACACAGATGATCCTACAACCCACGAGCCATTACCCGAGCAGAAATCAAGAGGCTCAACCAACTGAGCCACCCAGGCACCCAATAGCTGGATTTTTATATCTTGTTACTCATGCTAAAAATTTCGGTTCCTAATGTTAAAAAAGGAATAAGGCCAAAATGAAGTAACTTGCCCCCATCACTGCAAACTAAGACCTACGTGTAGTTTCAGTCATTCTGGTTGAGGGAATGTGACTTTCAATCAGTTAATTAGGAATTAACTGATTAGTAATAGTAAAATAAACCGCATGACAGACCCTTGCCTTGTCTGAAATAATCCTTTTTGTTTATGCCTTTCTTGTCCCATCCCATTTCTGCCTTTAAAAACCTCCATTTTGGGGGGCACCTGGGTGGCTCAGTCAGTTAAGTGTCTGCCTTCGGCTCAGGTCGTGATCCCAGGGTTCTGGGATGGAGTCCCACATCGGGCTCCCTGCTCCTCGGGGAGTCTGCTTCTCCCTCTCCCTCTGTTCCTCCCT